AAAAAAAAAAAAAAAAAATTTCCCTTCTGGCTTCCCCTAGTGATACAAATTTATTTCCTAGCATTTTGGTCTTTGAGCCGCTTTGCGTGAGTGTCTGTGTCTGGGGTGGTATCAGCTGGCACCAGGGCCAACCTGGGAAGGGCCCTTCTCTTGGACTTGAGCTGATGAGACTCACAGCCCAAAATGCAGCAGATCCCTCAGGCAGATCCTCGGTGCAGATCCCTCAGGCCATGGGACTCTGGACGTTGGCGGCCCTGTCAGCCTGAGCCACATCTGCCGTGAGAGGCAGCAGTACGTTCCTCGGGGCAGCGGTGAGACCAAGGCTGGATCCGAAGACCTCCGAGCAGCTCCTCTGGGGCAGATGCCAGCTGCAAGCCACAGCCCAGCCCTGGTAACAGGAGAGCATCGCTGGGGGGTGGGGCGGCCCGGCTTTGATGCAGCCATGTGGGAGGGCCACTCTCAGAGACCCCCCTCCTTCCTCGCCATCCCCACCCCAGAGGGGAAGCTGGAGCCTGGAGGCTGCAGACCCGGGGCCAAGGTGTGGCCAGGGCTGGCTGTGTTGGGAGGCTCTGAGCAGCCTGCTTCCTGGCCACCCAGCTCTGGGGCTGCTGTCAGCTCTTGACTTGTAGACGTCACTCCAGCCTCTGGCCTGTCACCCTAAGGCCCCCCATGTCTGTGTCTTTTCTCACGGGGACACCGGTGGTCGGCTTTGGGCCCCACCTGGGCAGTCTGGGACACTCACCTTGAGACTTCGACTTAATCACATGTGCAGGAACCTTTTCCAAAGGAGGGTCGCCTCACAGGTTCTGGCATAGGACATGGACTTAGCGTTTTGGGGGCTCATCTTCAGTGCACCACAGTTGACTACATCAAGGTCTGCCTCTGATCTTGTGGGAGTGCTGGGTGGTCTGTCCCCACCAGCAATTTGTGGGTGGGCTCTGTCCTCAGGAAATGCTCTCTGCTCAGGCCCCCGCCCCGCGGGAGGTTCGTGCTGCCAGTGGTGCTGGTCACTGGGACCATGTGCTGGGCCGGCACCTGGCAGGACAGACGGCAGGCGGCTCTTCCGTAGGTTCTTCTGGCTGGGACAGGCCCAGCCGGCGCTCAGTGTAAATGAGACTGACGCCCCTTTTGGACCCCTCTGAGTAGGGAGGCCTGGGTGCGCAGCCTCCCCGCAGAGTTGGGGAGACGTGGCCTGGTTCCCACCAGTCCACCACTCTGCCGGCCACCACCAGGACACGTGGCCCAGTTGCCATTGTCACCACCCTGCTGGCCGCCACTGGAACACGTGGCCCGGTTCCCGCTGTCACCACCCCACCGGCTGCATCTTGAACGGCGTCCCTTCTGCAGTCGCTTGTCCTTAGTGTTCCAGCCATACCCCAACTGATGCAACCCCCGGAACCTCCGTCAGCGCCGTCCGGGAGAGCGCCTCCCCTGCGTCCGTGCTGTGCTGGTTGAAAGCGAGATCCTCCAGCCTTTGGCCTCTCCGGACCTAGCCCCAGCTGCAGGCCCCAGCCATGGTGGTCCCTTTGGGAGGCGTGGTCCAGGAGGTGATGGGCAGCTGGAGAACCCCCATGGCTGGAGGCTGCTGCACCTGGCAGGGAGGGTACCGGGCAGGGGGGCGTGGGGTGGAGAGGGGTGGGTGTCCAGAAAGTTCCTGGGGCTCCACCAACGAGAACGTTGCCATTACCTTGAGGGAACGGCCCGTTTAGTGGTGCCTTTTCTTTACCTGTAAAACGGGGTGATTATAAATAATATCATGTTTGTAAAAGTGCTTAGGGTCAGACTCCCCTTAGAGTGAGTGTTAATACCCGTCTCAAAGGACAGTAGGTGGACGTGGCAGGGAGGGAGATGTCAGGACAACAGCCAGGGCCCTTTCTGCCACTTCTCCTGGTGGGTGGTGGGCAGTCCCCTGAACCCCGGCCGTAAAAGCGGGACCTCCCAACACCCTGGCCCCTCTGTGTTGGCTCCAGGGGATTCCTGGAGGAGAAGGTGCTGTTTCTAGATGGCTGGGCCCGTCATGTGGAGGGAAGGGGGACGCTGTAGGCGGCACTCCCAGTTTTCCTTTGGGTGGAGTCGTCGCCGCTGCTGCTCCAGTCCGGAGGCTCTGGGGCTCCTCGGTGGGTCACCTCAGGCCTGGGCAGCATCCATGGGACAGGGTGGTCCCCCGTCAGGCCCCATTGGCCTCCCTGTGGTGTGTGGTGGAGACTCAGGGTGCCCGCCCTGTGGAGGAGGTGCCGGAGGCAGCCTGGCTTTGCAGCAGACCCGGCTGAGGGCAGCGCTGGATGGTCCGCTGGACCAGGCCTACGAAGTCCTTAGAGTCCATGGAGGAAATACAGACTCCGCTGGGCTGGGCAGCCGCACACCCCACTTAGCAGCCGGTGGTTCCTTGGGGTCATCAGAGCCAGTGCTGGCTGCCCCATGCATTTCCTGTTGTTGGTCTCTGCCCGTCCACAGCACAGACAGCATCCCTGGGCAGCAGAACCCTGCTCCAGCCTGCACCCTGGGTAGAGGTGTTCTCCGTGCCACGTTCTGCCGGTAGCAGGCAGCCCCACCCCACTGTAGCCCGTCTGGTCACTAAGGGTGGTCCTGGTAGTGGGTTCTGGAGCCTGGAACGCTTGGGCCAGGCAGCTGGGACCCTCCTGAGCCTCACCCCTTGGGTCTGTTGGGGCCCCTGGGGTTTGACCGGGAGGACACCTTGACTGTTGCCTTTGCCTCTGGGTATATCCGCTGCTCAGCCCCTGAACCCAGCTCCAAGGCCATTTCTACTTGGCAAGAAGGAGGTTTCATGGCCAGGGATGTTCATAGCGGGTTCCTGGACGCAAGGGCGGCGCCGCCTTGGCCTGTGTGGGGGCAGTGGGGGAGCCTGGGTTCTCCCGTGCTGGTGGTCCTGGGGCAGATAACAGGGGAAGGGGCTGGAGCCACATGGGTGGAGCCATGGGGGCGCGTGGAGGGCCCTTCCTGACCCCACAGCAGGGGCCGGGGCGGGGCTGGCGGGGTACAGTCCTCAGTTGCAGGGGCCAGGGCGGGCCAGGAAGAGGAAGGGGCTCTCGGGGCGCTGGGGCCTTCTGGCTGTAGTGTCTCACTCGGGGCAGTGGCGGAATCCCTAGATCCGTCCCGTGGCCCGTCTGCCTCCCGTCCTCATAGCCCTGCAGGCTGGGGCAGAGAGGGGTCCTTGGCGGGGACACCATCCCCACAGGGACATGGAGGGTGCTGGACCCGGGGCTGCCGTGGAGTCACCAGTGCACCCGGGCGTGTGACCTGGGTGGTGCTGGGGCCGAATGCCCAGGTGGGCGCCTGTGCTGCCGGGTTCAAACCCCACCGGCAGGGAGCCTGCGCCGTGACTTTGGGCAAGTGGGTGGGGCTCCCCGTGCCTCAGTTTCCTCTTCTGTAAAAGGGGCTTTGTGAAGCTCAACAGAGTTTAGAGGAGCTCCTGGAACATGGTAAATGCTCAGTGAGGCTGCCTTGCCGCCTCTCCCACCCAGGGAGGGTCAAGTGGGAGGAGAGCGGCCCCACCGAGCGTGTTCCAGGCCCCCGCGGCATCTGAGAGGAGGCAGCCAAGCCTAGTGAGGACGCTGCTGGTGTCCTCCAGGCCTAGGTGGGCGGGTTACCACGGAAGCGTGTCAGCGGACGCCTGTGATTCCCTGGTATTTATAGGTATGTCTGTTGTTTTATTAAAAAATCCAGTTTCATTCAGCTTTGTCTCAAATTATTTGCAACAAACTGGAAAAGCTAGTTTTCCCCCTAAAATAGGCTTCTAATAAAATTGACAATCTGCCTGCTGAGCCTGAATGTTCTAGAGTTCTGCAAAACTGGGTATTTTGGGATGGATTAGGAGAAAGGAGTTGGCTGAAGGACAGTGGTCGTGATGCTGAGCCGGCCGTCTGTGTGAAGTTTACATTGGACCAGGATAAATGCGTATTTCCTATGGGAGCCCAGTGTGGCTGTGGTGTTCGGTGGTCTTATGATTTTATAGGCCTAGCCAGGGGTCTGCGAGCTGCTTCTGTCCAGGGCCACGTAGTTGAAGCCTGGGGTTCTGAGCAGGCGTGGGCGGCGCCCGAGGAGGTGCATGGCCGTGTCCCAGTGAAACTTCGTGCATGCTGAAATCTGAATTTTAGAGACTCTTTTCCTGTGTTTCAAAATATTATCCTTTTCATTTTATTCAGCCAATTAAAAGCGTAGATATCCTAGCTTGAGTGATTTGGAGCACCAGGCACCCTAGGTTGCCAGCCGTCGTTCCCCGTAGATTTGGGGACTTGAGTGAGACGCACACGTTAGGTTTATGTGTTTCACATTTCACGGAACGTGCCTCACATAGCTGGTCAGCCGCCTGACGAGGGAAGCTTGGCCTTTCGGAGAAGTGGCCGTGCCTCATGGTGAGCTGCTGACAGAGCTGGAATTTGAACCCTGGGCTTTGGCCCAGGTTCCACTCCGTGAATGCAGATAAACACGGGTTTATGAGCTTGATGATTTAAATGGAGGTTTTATTCCCGTTCAGGCAGGTATGGGAGGCCAGTGATCAGGAGATGATGCTGTCGAGAAGGTCGTTTATTACTCAGCTCCCGAGAGGAGACCTCCTCATGCCTTGCAGGGCCGTGCGGGGAAGTGCCGAGTGGGTTAGAGGCAAGGGGCTGTGTGAGTGGGGGCCTTTACTGTGGTTTCCTTGGGAAAGTCGGGGGGAGTAGGCATTGGGTCGGCCAGGTGGAGTAACTTCAGCGGGCTCTGGGGTGCAGGGGCCGTCCCTGTGACGTGGGGAGGCCCCCAGGACGGCTGGGGGCCCGTGTAGGAGGTGGGCCCAGGTGAGGGTTCTGGGTTGATGGGTTTGCATTTGAAAGGTTCACTGTGGGATGAGTCATTTGCTGTCTCTAGGAATCGGTTGGCCCCTCAAGGGGCCGTCCTTCCAAAGTCAGCAGGGCCACAGGTGCTGGAGCATTGAGGACACAGCACATAAGAATGCAGGGAGCATGTGGTGTGAGCACAGCCAGAGGTCTGCAGGACACTCCCCTCTGTCCCTCTGCACCCCCAGCGCGAAGCCTGGCCCATGTGGGGTCAGCACAGGTGCCGAGTGGGATTGGGGTAGCGGGCAGAATTCCCAGCCGAGCACGCTGCCGCCCCCCATGTTTTTATGACTGTAGAAAAATGCCAGCTCTCATTTTCCAGTGATGCCGAGGTCCCAGGGTTTGTCAGGGAACCAGGGCGGGGGTTGGAGGGTCAGGCCACCCAGCAGCGGTGGGGGCTCTGGGTCTGCCCAGGAGCCCAGGCTGGCCACAGCCAGGCACAGCACAGCGCAGCATGTGAGGTCTAGCCTCGGAAATGGGGGTGTCTCCTGCCTTAGGCTGGGGGTGTGCGTTTCCAGGCCAGCTGGGACGGTTTTCAGCCTGGCGAAGCTTGGCCTTTCCTGTTCCTGCACCATCTGCCCACCGTCCCTGCACACGCTGGTGGGGTTCCTGGGGTGGACACAACCACCTTGCAAGGCCCCCATGCCTCCTCTCCTCCCCTCCGTTCCGGGGCCGCAGGACAGTGCTCGGGACCCTTGGCCATTGGCGTCGAGCCCATTCACAGCTTCTGGATGCAGGTCAGAGGTCACTTGCCCCAGCCACAGCTGCACTGTCCCCCACTCCCAGCCTGGCAGGCCGACCTGCAGGACCCCAGGCTCAGCTGGGTTCTGTTCCCATGTTGCATTTTCAAGGTCCGCTGAGTCCGAGCCCTGCCTGGGTCTGGCTGCTGCCCGCCCGCTCTCTGTGCTGTGCTGATGCAGAGATGCTTGTTTTCCTGTGACGTCAGTGTCAGCTCCTCCACATCCATGCCGTGTTTTAGTTTGTGCCTCAGCTGCTGGCTACAGCTTCCCGGGGGAGCCGGGTACCACCCGGGCCTGGAGACATGAGGAGGCAGGGATGTGAGGGGCGGGGGACAGGACAGCCGGCCTTCCGTTAAATATCTGCTCCTCGCGCTCGAGCCTCCCTGCCTATTGTCGGGCCGGAGGCGAGCCGACACAGCACCAGCTCGTCAAAGGGAAGGAAGATGCCTCCCTGCACGCCCGCCGCGCACAGAGCATAAAGAACCTGCGCTGAGGAGGCAGGAGAAGAAAGCCGGTGAGTCGGGGGCCTCTCCCCTGTGAATTGTCCGCGCCCCCGGGGCTGGGCCAGCCGTGCTGCAGGCCGTGCGTGCGGAGGATGGTGCCCGAGTCAGCATTCTGGGTCTGAGTCCTGTCGTTGCCGCCGCCTGTGCGCTGCACAGATGCTCCGGGCAGCAACACGGCTGGTACCCGGCCCGGGGAAGGCGTGCGGCTGCAGCAGCTCCCGGCGGTGTCGGGGGAAACGCAGTGAGAGGCTGTTGTTTTGCGGGTGACAGATTTTTAGAAACATAAGGCGGTGGAGGGACCTTCCGAGCGAGGCAGGGGCTGCTGGAGGGACATGCTCACCCCGAGGACGGATGGTGTGTGGCCCAGGCCTGGTGGATGCGTGGCGGCGGCTGCGGAGGGCTGGGGGCCGGGGGACTTGGGGAAATCATTCTGGGCTCGTCTGCCTGCCTGGCCCTGGGGAGTCGCTGGCTGTTGGGAGTTTCGCTGTAGCCGATGCTGTTTGGTTGTGGGTCTGTGAGTCTGTGTCAGGGCCAGGACGGATGGGTACGTCTGCCGCTTCCTCTCCATTCTGCAGGTGGGCAGATTGATGAGACCACAGGGGTGAAGTCTGGAGACCCCAGGTGCCAGGACTGGTGGCGGTAACAGCCGGCACCTGTTCCAGGCTTGCAGTCTTTCTGTCTCGAGCCTGCCCCCCGCCTGTCTGAACCCCCGTTTTGCATTGACAGTGTTGGGTTGGCGTCTGGGTGGCACGGCCAGGGTTAGTGTGCACGGCTCACTCCATCGGGGTCCTCGGATGGTGGCGAGGAGCGGGGCTGCGGCGTCCTGTTTTCTATTCTGAAATGGTTGGAGGTAGACTCAGGGAGGTCTGGGGGCTGCACGGTGTTTGGCAGGGATGTGGCAATGTGGGTGCTTTTCTGACGACCATTTTGCAAGGTGTTTTTGTAAAAAAAAAAAAAACAAAAAAACAACCACCACCAGCGTCCCCAGTCAGGCTTGTGGGGAGCTGTGGGCCTGGAGGACTGGGCTGCTGGGGAAGGCGGCTTTCCCCCTCGTGGGGTGCTGGGTGCTGGGGAGGCTGGCAGCACGCCCCTCCCCCAGGCGCGAAGGGACCTCAGCAGACACGGGGCCGCTCTGCACAGCCAGCTTGGGCCGCAGGGGTCCTTGAATGATGAAGATTCTGTGTTGATGGGGTGAGTGGGAGAGGGAAGGAGCTGGGGTGGTTTTCACACGTGCGCCTGCCTGCGAGGAGAAACGTGCTGTGTCATAGTTTCCTCGGTGCCTGGGACGGCTTGGCCTCTGCTTTCGTGTGAGCCCACGCTGGCTGTGCACAGCTGGCATGGTCCCTCGCGGTGGGAATACAGTGCTGGGTGGGAGGGCTGTGGCCAGGGTCAGGATTCGAGCGGTTACTGGCTTTTGGTATGATGGCCTTCGGTGGGTGAGTCAGAGCCAGGATGGGGATAGACTGGGGGGCCACGGGCTGCCCCTGCAAGCTGTTTCGTGTTGATGCGGCCGGAGCTGGCTGTGGTACCCGTGTCTGTGTCTCGGCCGGATCGGCACACATCTTCCACATTCCTGTCCCAGCTGCATCAGCCATCAGTGGGGGCCTTTCTCCGACTGTCTTCCTAGACTTCGGAGCCACTGGTGGTTATGTAAGAAGTTGTGTGTTCCTCTGGCCAACTCCAAGCTTGGTCCCACCTCCCAGACTCACCTCCGGGCTCTGGCCTCTGCTGCGATGTTTCCGAGGCTCCCAGTTAATCAGATCCGTCAGCCCAGAGTGTCCACAGGGCGCCTGAGAGCCCGGCCCATCCACACTGGGTGCCCCGGACCTTCCGCGGGGTCTGGTGGGGACCTGCCACGGCTGTCGATGGCCCCAGTGGAGAGGCCCACTGAGCATCCTCAGAAGTTCCTGTGTTTGTGACCTGCTCTCGTGTGTAGCGGTGGGGGCTGCGTCTCATCTGCTGGACGTTTCTGATCACCGAGGACTCAGCCGGGCAGGTGGAGGTTGAACCGTCGGGGGGCGGGGGGGACCGTCCATGGGGTCAGGCACCAGCCTCTGCTGAGGACCCCAAAATTGGGGTAGCAGTCTTTTCCTGTGCTGACGTGGAGCTTTGCCCAGGAGCCGGGCAGGGAGCTGTTGCAGGGCCAGGTCCCTGAATGGGCTGTTTGGGGCCGGGGCTGAGGGGGTGCCCAGTGCCATCAAGGGGAAGCCTGTGGGGAAGTGTGAGGACATCTGGAAAACCTGTAGCAGGTCCCTGGCTGTGCTGGTCATAGTGCTTGAGTGTGGGCTCGGCAGGTCTGGTCTCCTGGCGCCCACTCACTCCCTGGCCATCTCCCCGCCTCCCACATGTGGTAGGGGGAGCAGAACGTGCAGCCACCGCTCCTACCAACCCTCATGCCACAGGCTGGACAGGCCTGTGTCCGGGATACCCTGCGGCATCCCCATCTCCCAGCCCCTGGGGTCGGCACGATGCTGGGCCTCCAGAAATGTTTGTTGTTTCATGCAAGGGGCAGAAAAAACTTTGTTCAGGTCAGGCGTGGTGCTCACGTCTGTAATCCCAGCACTTTGGGAGGCCGAGGCGGGGGATCACCTGAGGTCAGGAGTTTAAGACCAGCCTGACCAACATGGTGAAACCCCATCTCTACTAAAAATACAAAAATTAGCTGGGCGTGGTGGCGGGCACCTGTAATGCCAGTCATTCGGGAGGCTGAGGCAGGATAATCGCTTGAACCCGGGAGGCGCAGGTTGCAGTGAGTTGAGATTGCGCCGCTGCACTCCAGCCTGGGCAACAGAGTGAGACTCCATCTCAAAAAAAAGGGAAAGCTTTATTCAAAAGAAGCCACCTGAACCAGTTGGTAGTCCAGTGCTCAGCTTGTGTTTGGTCATGAAGTGACGGCAGTTGTCACTCGTACGGGAGACGCTGTGGCAGAGTCCCCTCCACGCGTCGGGGCCCGGCGGCACATTTCTGGGATTCTCCTGAACACGCGAAGGAGGGCACCCACCACGCTCAGGACTGGCTGCTTCTCTGTGAGGCCTCCAGGCAGAACCAGTGACTCCACCGTCTCCGGGCAGCCTTGGTGGGCCCACAGGTCTGTTGTTCCCCCGAGAGAGGATCAGAGTCAGGAGGGGCGCGACGCCGAGTTGACGCGAACAGATCCCTGCTGCCGGTTGTTCTGGCGGTGCCGTGAGCACATCTGCCGGGTGTGAGGGCGCGGGGGCTTCGTTTCGTCCACGCTCACATGTCGGGTGCACAGGAAGAGTTTACACACGCTCTGGTGGGTGGAATGGCCCTGACTTGCTGTTGTCTTTAAATAGGGGGTTTGAGTGTGTCTGGTCTTTCTGAAGTTTTCTTTTTTAATGTTTCTTCTGTGGGAAGTTTGAAAAGATTCGACTGACTGCAAGACGGAGCCGCCCTGCGTCTGGAGGGGCTGTGGGGACCCAGGGTGGACTGGCGGCTCGGCGTGGGCCCGGATGGCTTCCTCTGTTTGCTCCTCACCACACCTCGATTGTTGAGAGCATCTCATGCGGCTGTATCAGGTGTACACAGGCCGGGCCTGGTGTCTTGTCCTGGTGAGGAAATTGCGGTGTTGCCCTGCGAATGGTTGTGTATAAAGTTTGCATTGTACATTCTATTTAAAATTTTATTTTGAGTTTTCCAGATTTTCTGTTGTAAGGTGTTGATAGTCCTGTGGGACTCACAAAGAGAGAACATGTGTCCCTGGTCCTCCCTGCTGCCCCGGCTCCACCCCCTGGAGGGGATTAGAGCAGTTTCTTCTTGACATTTATTTCCAGATTTCTAAATGACACATTTCTGCTGCTATTTCTAGACTTTTCCATTTAGGATGTTACTTCCCCACTTTCTCTGGGACACATCAGCTTATCTTTTCCTTGTTCCATTCTCCTGATGGAGTTATGTCACCGTTTATTGTTTTCAGTCGTTGAGTGTTTACCTAATTGTGGGTGATGTGAATATTCATGAACCACCAGGATTGCAGTCCCTTGTTTGCACAACTTTTGGTTTTCCTTGGACTTAATACATCGTGATTGTTTGAATCAGTTTCCTAGATGTCTTGTCTCAAATTTACTGTAGTTTCCTCTTCCCAGCAGAGGGGCAACTCCCGCCGATGCCTGCGTCACCTCCCTCCTGGTGCACCCGGGCCCCCACACAACGTGCCGTAGGGCTTCCCTGTGCCGGGAACAGCCCCCTCCTCTCTCCTCTGCCTACAGTCTTGATCTCTGGCTCCCTGTCTTCATCTTTCTTGGCTTAATCTCCGGTTAAGACCTCTCCAGCGGCTTTCTGAGAAAGACAGCGTGGGAGGCCTTTTGGGGGATCTAGTTGGAAAATGCCTTTCCTCCAGCCACACACTTGAGGATAGTTTAGCTAGGTATGAAACTCTGTGTTGGAAAGAATTTTCCCTTTGCGTTTGGAAGAGATTGCTCTACTGTCTTCTGGCTTCTTGTGTGACCAAGAAGTCAGGTGCCATTTTGATTTTGTGTGTGTGTGTTTTTGTCCTGAAAGTCTCGTAGAATCTTTTGTCTTCAGGGTTCTCAAGTTTCACAATAATGTTCGTTGTCGGGGGACCTTCTTTGTCTCTTGTGCTGGGAACTCGGGCTGTGGAAACTTGCAACATTTGGACGTGGGGAGCTTTACACCCAGTGATTTATCCCACGGCCGACTCCCCGTCTCTGACTGTTTTTTAGAGTTGACACTGATTGTTTGTTGGCCCTCCCAGGCTGGTCCTTTAATTCTCTTCTGTTTTCCGTTTCTTTGTTTATTTTATATTCTAGGAGATATCTTCAGATTTTCCTGTCCAAACCATCCATTAAGTTTGTCACCTTGTTCCTGTTCTTATCTTTCGTTCTTTTTTCTCTGAAGGTGTCTTTTTAAGGCAGAGTGTCCTGCCCTTGTGTCAAAGGCGTATCACACTCTTTCTCCGGGGTTATTCATCTCGGCTGAGAGGCACCGGGGTATCATGTGGTGATTCAGCAGTGCTTAGCACATTCACGGCTGC